CTTAATGTTTATAACTTTCTTTAATCCTTTCTTACTTGAGCAGAAATCGAAACCCGGATTTTATATATTTATATCCGTAAACCGCTGACCTCCCTCCTCGGGGGACCATATTTATATAGCATTTATAAAGAGTCGATATGCTTACAAGAACATTCGTTATTTTTTATTGGAAAAAAAAATCAGGCTCGCAACATGCAAACAATAAGAATACAAAATAGTTATCAATCATTACCTGGTGTTTCGTGCATGAATATTGTTTACGTGATGCAAGCCTGAACATTTTCTTTTAATAAATAATCGACTCCTCATAAGTACCATTTAATATGATCCCCCAGGGTGGGGATCAGCGGTTTACGGGTATAAAAATATAAAATTTCGCTTTCTCACGGTGGACACAGTGCAGTTAGTTCATTGTGTAGCTTTGCACTGAGAAAAGCACAATAATCATTTTATATTTGTATATATGATATGTTGCAAAATCTTTACAATGTATAAACATTTATATTATTGATGCTTCTTTTGTTTTAAATTAAGAAAAAACCAAACTATGTAACATAAACGTACTTAAAAATATAAATCCCGAGGAATACAGTTATTTAACATCTCTTATATATCTATAAAACGAAGTAAAGTTGTTTCTGTCAGGCTAGTTAAAATATTTGAATTTCACTAATGCTTGATTGACAAGTAATATGGATTTCTTAAAATAAAATATATTGTTTAATTTATTTATCAGGAAAGATGTCTCATAAATGATATCCGCGTTTTGTATGTACGTCAATCACACTATCTATGGTTACACTATCTATTCAAAGTGTCTCCCAGCAGGTAAAACATCATAATGACGAAACATGATAGATGGTTTCTGATTGGTTTCTAAAGTTAGGTGTCGCCTCTATAAAAGGTGCGTTTACTGAACAGGTAGTTAGACAGCACGTGTACAGTGCCAGACGATGATGTGGGGATGTTATTTTTTTTATAATTTTACTAGCTTGTTGATCGCAACAGTCTCGTGAAGCTGTAGCAATAGCAAAGAGCCATCTAGTGGAAAGAAAACCTGTTAAAACTTTAACTTTAAAATTAAAGGAGTAGTGAGTTAGCTTTTGTTATCATTGATATCACACATTCGTAACTTATAACATGTAACGTCGTGAACGGAAAAAAAATCGCGAGAACTTCATATTAAAAGAATGAATACTTCCTTTTCTTTGGAAAAAGGTGAGTCAAACTAAGTTGTTGTTTTCTTATGGGATTTCTAAAACGATTATTGAATTGACTTATTATTGTTGAATGTTAATTATTTTAAATGCACATTTGTTTTAGTTTATGCAAATTTTAATTAGCATTGAATTTCAATTGTGTTAGACTGCATGAATTATCAGTGAGCTTTCTCCTATTAACAGTATCCTTCCTGTCTGTGGCTCAGCGGTCTGATGAATTATAACGTTAAAAGTCAAGTTTCGATATCCGCGTAGACAGAGCACAGAGAGCCTATTGGGTAGCTTTGTGCTTAACAATAACAAATAAAAATTAGCAATACACACAGTAAATTAACAATAAACCACAATTAAATAATTGACTGCTATATGAAATATTTTCTACATATTTAGGATATGCAACAACAAGCCAGCAAATCGTTGTTTGCTATTTTAGAATGTTTAACGTTAAGTAAGATAAGCCTATTTTCGACATGAAGTTATAGCATCGAAAATGGTGTGAATCCATGTTATAATTTTAAGTAAGCAAACAAAATTATTTAATAACCGTTTTAATATTTTTCTGTACCTTGCGTTACGAACATAAATTGCAATATGATATGCTGACGTTTTTTAAACGCATTTTTTTATTCGAAATACATCATCACAAAACAAAATAAAACACTTATTGTATTAGGATTATAAAATGAGATATCCACGGATAGGATATTAGTAGATAATGTATTATGAAATGTGAGGAAAATATATCGATAGACTTTAATAGTCTGTGATGAAAACTAATTTTCTCTCTAATCAATTTATTTACGCTTCCCAATGACAGAGCGGTATGTCTGCGGACTTACAACGCTAGAAATCGGGTTTCGATACCAGTGGTGGGTAGAGCACAAATAGCCCTTTGTGTAGCTTTGTGCTTAAATACAAATAAACAAACAGTTTATTTGCATATAAATTGAGATATTAGCCATTTATTAGTGTTAGGATGCACGATAATCAACGATTGTTTATTGGACTTTGTATAAATTATATTCTTAACGCCATCACAAACTGTGATAACTCCATTAGGAGATTATATGTGGTGTAGTGTAATGATTTCATTAAAGTTAATAATCATAACAAGATGTAATACATTAATACGTAAGTTTCTCTTATACTATTTAACAAGGGTGAAAAATTTAATACAATTAATACATAAGTTTTACTTACACTATTTAACAAGGGTTAAAGACGTAATACAGTTTAAATGTAAGTTTTTCTTATACTATTTAACAAGGGTCAAAACAGGAAGACAATACTACAGCTTGACTTACATTCACAAAACAGTGTGATAATATAACAAAATAAACGAAATGGATAGAAAAAGAACTTATAAAAGATTGTATTTCCAGCTTTTAACTATTTTCAAAATGTTAATACGTAATACCATTAAGGAATCATTGTTGTCCGAAATAAACGTGCTGGATAGTGCTTAAAATATTCAAACATTTAACTCTCTTGCCCACAGGTATTTCGTCAGAAATTTCTAGAATCGGATAAAAAAAACCAGGTTGGCGTTTTCTGATTAATAAAGAAGGACACTTTTCCCCATATTCGTCAATTTACCTTAGTTTTGAATCAAACTCGAATTTTTGAACACCGAATAGATCTTAATGGCCGTCGACTTGGTAGATTTCGATCCCAACTCATGGGAATCTTTGCTCAGCCTAAACACCAACGTAATTGAAAATGAAAACCTTAAGCTGCACAATAACTGTGATAGAGTCGAACTACCGGCTATCATGTGTATAACTCCAAAAATATCCGTGGAAGATGAGGAACCGTCTTCACCAAAACTGTCCAATACTTCGGTGGCTTCACACGAAAACAGTACAAGATCGTCAGACTGTAAAACTAAAGAAGATCAACAAGCAAAAACTGAAGAAGAGTGTAAAGAAATTAAGTACAAACTGCGACCGAGATCAATTCAGAAGCGGAAAGAACTCGAGATCAAAAGGCACTGCAAGAAGGAACCAAAGCCTAAACAGAAACCACCGCCGTTAAGCAAATATCGCAGGCGTACGGCAAACGCCCGAGAAAGATATCGAATGGAAAAAATGAATCAAGCTTTTGAGCAGCTTCGTCAAGCGATTCCACAGTTTCCTAATGCGGTGGGGATGAACAACTCGAAGCTAACAAAAATCACAACGCTCCGGCTGGCTGTGAATTACATCGCTGCCTTGGCTGATATTTTACGAAAAACTGACTGTAATGATAAAGAACAAACTACAGAGGGGCCATCACAAGTAGTCGATTCTACAGACTTGAACCTGGATATTGGGAGTGATGGATGTGATTTAACAGTTGATGATCTGACTTTTCTATTAGATTCTGATGAAGATAGTATGGAGTACACTACTGATCTTCTATTTCCATGATGGTCGTTTATGTGTTTTGTAGATAGTTTTTTTTTAAATAATGAATCGTATTCCTCAAGCCTTCTTTATAGACTTGAATACAATAAGTCATAAAAATGATGTTGTTCATAGATTTTTTTTTGCTAAGAACACGTAAAAAGAACAATTATTAAAGTGTTCCCATTCGTTTCTTCTTTTTGTGGTGGAAGAAGACATATTTCAAATTACTTATTCTCATATTTTCTAAGGATATTTGCTTGAAACATAAGCACTTTTTATGAGTGTGTTTGTATTTGACTATGTAAAAATCTTCAAAGCATTATAATTAGTTTTTTTTTGTTGTTGTTGCAAAATTGATCATTAAAAAAAATGGCTAAAATGCAAAATTACCCAGCAGGTTAAGAAATAAACTTTGTGATCGTATTTCTGGCAGTCTTCTGGTAAGGCGTGATTTGACAATCATTGTGCTAACCAAGTTGTAATATATTCAAATAAAATCCAACTCGTTTTATCGGAAAATGGAACAGGTCACTAGTTCCTCAAGACAAGAGTGTGACTTTACACTGTGAAGTGCCAAAATGTCATTAGCTTATGGAGATTTACGTTCTTGGATCAGTCATATACTGTACGTTTTAGCCAAACTTTTGGTGGTTTCAAGTATTAAATAAAAAACAGTTGTTTTATACATGAATGTCTGATTTAGTTACATATTTCAACAATTGTTTAAATTTAATTCTAAGAAAATGCTGAAGAATTTCTTTTGTCTCTAAAAATATCACTTTATATACACAACTTCTAAATCTAGTAAGTTCACAAACAGTAACAGTTTGTCAGGATGATATAAAAACAGAAAGAAATTACGTTAGGATTTAATACGAGTGCATATATTAATACAGCTTATACTGACGACCAAAATAACACAACTGATGTTGACGAAAGAAATAGACCAATTTTTTATGTGTAAATTTAAAAAACCGTACAGCGATGTAGTGGTTGAATGTGTTTGTCAGTATTTATTTTATCAACGTTATTAACTTTTCTGTTTATTGAACCAATTTTGGTTAAAATTAAGATGTAGAAGTTACTGAAATCGAATCGGAAAGGATATTTTTAGGGATAGAAAAGTTTTTTTTTATTTCAGCAAGACACTTTGCAAAACTTCGTTTGTTAATTTTTAGAGCAAAGCCACGTTAGGCTGTCTGCTGTGTCCCAGATTTTGGCATTGTAAGTCCATAGATTTACCAATATCTCACAGAGAGACATTTGTGATAGATTACCATCTCGTTGAAGTTCCGTTTTATAGAAACTGAAACTAACTTTTTGGATGAATATGGAGGAACTAGTTAAGATGTCATTTCGGGACATTTGAAAGACAAATTACCCATAATTTTTTTATATGCTTTTTCTGTGGGAATGTTCCTTTTTATGTTATTTTGTTAAAAAAACACGTAAAATGTGAAACGTGATCCTTGTTAACACACACAAATCTTACCTGCATAAGGACCTGTTTCACTTTTGAAACCATTTTGTGAAAAAACACAACAACATTTAATTCCTTAATATTTACTTTTTAATATAAAGTTTACTTTGGTGGAATTGGCTCAAGAGTTTTTTGTTGTTTTTTCTGTGCGTTTGCATGCATTAACGTTCGACACGTGACTTCACGTATCTTCATGATGTGCTGACAAGTCGATCCTGAGCCACCGCGGACTCTCATTTCAGTGTAAACAATGAACCGGCTATTGCTGCCTAGGAAAACCTCAAAATAATTATTTTCAATAGTTATTGAAATTAGAAATATCGTTAATATTTGTTTCATACAACACCCTATAATGATCCGCGTAGATTGATGGATTAATTAATATTTTTTCCCCTTCAACTGGAGCAGTAACACCAAAATCTTATAAAGTCCAATACCTTCAACTTCAATATTTGCCAAAAGCAGAATTGCTAACTGGGAAAGGTAGCCCTGGTTTAGAAAAGGTAACCCTACGCAGCAAAAGCAGTTCTAGTGACAAAAAGCAGCCCCATTTACAATGTAGTTTGTTAGTAAAGATAACCCCAGTTACGAAAGGTAGACTTAGTTAGGAAAGGCAACCATATTTACAAAAGGTAACTCTGATTGGGAAAGGATACTCTAGTTACGAATGGTAGACCTGATTGGGAAAGGTAATCTATATAGTAAGGAAAGGTGGCTTGTTAGGAATGGTAGCTCTAGATAGGAAAGGTAGACCTCGTTAAGAAAGGTAGCTCTAGTTAGGTATAGTAACTCTGGTTAGGTAAGGTAGCCCTAGTTAGAAATGGTAGCTCCAATTAGGAAAGGTAGGTATATTTATAAAGACTCCGGCTTGGAAAGCTAGCCCTAGTTAGGAATGGCAGCTCCGTTCATAAAAGGTAGTTCCAACTTCAGTAGGTGTTAACTAATATATGTTTTATTCACTTTAGAATAGCACAACCGGTAGCGAAAATATTATATAGATGATCGCAGAATCTTTGCTACTTTAACAATGAAGATCTATAAGAAGTTTCCTGTAAATCCTGTATAAAAATAAATAAACTGATTGACATAAGCTTATTTAACATAAATTAAACGCATTCATATGTAACTGAAAATGAATCTAGAACTAAGTGAAGAGTTTTAATATCTATTCAGATAAATGCAAGAAATGGTATAAAATGAAAATGTAAATAGAACGGTTTTTCTTAACCAGTGTTATATGTTATATCTTTTTTAGTTAAATATTTAGAATAACTGCAAAAATTGCGACAGATTCAAACATTTCGTCAAGTCATCAAGTGGCCAGGAAACTTTTGGAAATTCTCGTCGTATTCACACATAGAATTAGGTCAAGGTTCAAAAAATGTAGTATAGGTTTCCTTAACCTACAATTGAATACAAGGTATCATAATTGCCACAATATCAGACTTCAAGCTTCTGAGTTAGTTATAGCAATTGATGAAGTACCTTTTGGTGAATAATGAAGTGTATTATTCCCTAGTTACGCTACTCAAATAGAAATGACATGCATAGGATTGCTCCAATACACCAAGGGCGTAGGAATCAAGTATTGCCCGCTAACAAGCTCCCGTCGAGCTTGGTAATCGTATATGCTACTTGGCAGTGTCGAGAAATGAAGCAGCAAGATGAGGTCAGATCAACCTTCGGTGATGCGTGAGACTAATAACACAGGCCTGCGAATTTAAATTTCATAAAGGTTGTTTTGGTTTTAATAACAGATTTTACATAATTCAGCTACGCAGATTTCGAAAACAATATTAATTTTTTTATATCACGTAAGGATTTGTTACAAATTGGGAAGAAGTAAAATTCTTAATTAGATCAAATTATTATTTCGTTTACGAAAATTAACATTTTTTATTATTATGTTTGTTAACAAAAATACAAACAAACTGAAGAAAAGGG